GTTTGAAACGGTGCGAAACTCATGCACGTAGTTAAAACGGAATTGTCTGCATAGTAAAAAGTGATTTTTAGCAACAAAAAGCGATACTTATGTTTCGCGTAAATGCAAAAAAGACAGGGCATTTGAATTTTAATCTGTTTTCTATCGCAAAAGGTTTTGAACAACACTTTTCACCCGGAGGGAACCTGACCAGTCGGGCTTCAAACCCATCCAAGAATCCAGCAAGGGCAGCGGACGAGGAGTCAATATGAAGATAAAATAAAACTTGTAAAATGGTCTCTATCGGTTTTGATAAGACATCTGTCAGTAATTCGTCAAAATAGTGGAGCCGCAGGTATGCCGCTGTAAGCCAACGGAATTTGCTTAAAATGGAAATTCAATGGTCTTAATCTAATAGTGTTAGTATTTTTCATGGTGGTACAGTCAATAAGCGTTAATAGCCCAAAGAGTGGCCGACAGAAGAGCTCACCTAAAACATAAAGCAGTAACGGTGTCCATTGATCGAGTTACGCGGCCTACACGTCGCATGGTGCCTGGAAGTTACATGTACAGTCCTCGCAGGCAGCCGGATAGCGATGAGAAATACAGTATGGGATCTATCCGATGCAAATTGCTGACGTATACAAAAGACTGATAACCCCTCCCACACCAGCTATCCGAAAGCTAGTTGCGTCAGGACTGTATGACAGGAAAGAGACAGCTTATAGCATAATTCCATTTGGCGATTACTTGTGGGACCTATACTAATGAGTTTGGACCTGCGGTCCAGTAGTTTGTGATGTGGCTTTCTGCAGCCGAAACATACAGTTCGAGACTGTCGGCTGATCCCAACGTTTCATATTCCTTCATACAGAGGGGGCGGAGCAATTAAGCTTCCCAGACGTCTGACAGACACAATGAACTGAGTTGCTTGATAAATCTGAGTATGGCTAAACTCTTCAGCCACCAATGGCCAGTGTCTGTGTTAAGGAACGCAATTAATCATTTTCGACAAACAAGGTCCTTGATCTCCTTTCAACACTTAATTGTCCTGAGAAGAAAATGTAGGCATTCGTTCCCAACGTTCGTGCATGGAATGCTCTACGTATTTCGCTGTACTTACTGCTGAACGAGTGCTTATGGTGTTACATTGGGAAAGGGCAGTAAAAGTGCGTGATAAGGGCCTTCTGCTCGGTTTGCTGGTTTCCAGTTTGAGGGCAAGCTTGCCGTTATCGACAGTGAAAATGCTGTTTGGGGGGTTGCATCATTATCCTCTCCTTGGAGACGTCTCAAATTCGCAAAAGAGTAAGGTTTTGAAAAATTGAGTGTACGTGCACTTGCGCATTGGACACAGTTTTCTGGACGGACTGCACAGCTGGCATGCGACGAGTGTTCCCCAGATGCGTTTTTAAGTGCACATTCAGGGAATGAGATCATCTAAATGCAGAAAAGGCGTTTGCTGATCGGGTTACGAAACCTGCATGTTGCGTGAGGCCTGAAGGTAGAACCCTAGCAGGCAGTCGCATAGCTACCAGAAAGAGATGCACGAGGAATTTCCGACAAAGGCAATTGAGACTGGAATGTCCATCTCAAGCCTAAATTAGGGGTTTGTTACGACTGGCTGATGACGGCCAGCAAACCAGAAATAGCGATTTAAGCCTCCCTGTTTTTTTCTGCACATATCATTAGGTACTGCGCTACTGTCTATGGAATTTTAGTTCGAGCACCAAAATATGAGAGCCCAACGTTCCCTTGTGTTTTGGAGTTCAATTACACACCTCTACCTGCTTGATTCAAATGAAGGGCACTTAGAGAACCACCGAAAATCATAAGAAAAGCTAGTCTCGGTAAATATTCCCATGGTTAACTTTAAAAGTCAGTTTATTTTAAACTGACTTTTAAAAGCTAGTTTGTTGCAAAAAATCCATCAAAAAGTTGGGTGGTTGATTGAGTTACCTTTAAAAGGATGAGGAAAATGCAAAATTCATTTTTTGTGAGGAATAAGAAATAGACATTTTCTGTAAGCTGGTAATATCTACTAACACAGAAACCCTCCCCCCATTCTCCTCTCAACTACTGCACCCAAACCAACATAGTATAGGCCTTTCTGGAATCCGTTTCCACTAAGGACAGTTGCACTCTGAACAGAAGATATCGCTAATCCAAAGTTAGAATTGGTTGACAAAAAAGTATTTGGCGAATGAGGCGAACATAAACTGTTGAACAAGTTAATACAAAAAGGGTAGGTCTATTTGACAAAATGGTAATAATAAATATTATGGGGCGCAGGGTTGGACAATGGGGTTTAAAATTACCTTGTTAACATCTGTGAATTCCTCCACCTTACGCTGGTAGTGCTCTCGAAGCCAGCCAGGTGCGTCCTCTGACTCCGAATCTTCGTCGAAAACCGCAGCCGTAATTGGTTGCATTGTGTTTGTGTGGTAGTAGACCCGGTTATGACCAACAGCCAAGGGTCGAACTGAGAAAGCAGGATCCAGTGACTAAATGATATACAACAGAGATCAAATAAGTGCGATTAGGATGGGGACAGCGGGTTTAAAGGTTTTTAAATGCAACGTTTGCACCTGCTTGAGAAGACCTGACTTGACTCTGTGAATATTGTGGAATGTGCCCTTCACCATGGCGGAAAGTCTGGAGCAGAGAAGACGTTGCTTCACAATAAATACCACATTCAACATAAAAAATGGAAGTACCCTCTGACCGGTCTTAGAAAATAAATGCATGATCTCAA